AGAATGTAGGCTTTAGAAATGAACAAATCTGGATTTGAATCCTCTGCCTTTGTGAGAATCTTAGTTAAATGCTCTAAGTCTCAGTTCTCTTATTTATAAAATTAGAATAAAAATACCCATCTGTAGTAGTTTTATATTGGTGCTATAACAAATTACTACAAACTTGGTGGCTTAAAACAATACACATTTATTATCTTACAGCTCTGGAGATTAGAAGTTCAAAATGGGTCTCACTAGGCTAAAATTAAGGTATCAGCAGGGTTGCATTATTTCTGGAGGCTTTAAGGGAGAATCAATTTCCTTGCCTTTTCCAGCTAGTAGAGGCCACTCACATCTCATGGCTCATGACCCCATTCCTCTATCTTCAATGCCAGCAGTGACAGGCCAAGACCTTCTCTTGCTGTCATTTCTCTTGTTCTCTCTCTTCTGCCTCCCTTTTCCACTTTTAAGGATGCTGTGATTACATTGGGCCCATCCAGATAATCCAAAATAATCTCCACATCTTAAGGTCAACTGTTTAGCAAACTTAATTTCATCTGCAACCTTAATCTCCCCTTTGCTATATAACATAAACATATTCATAGGGTACAGGGATTAGGACACAGATATCTTTGGGCGACCGTTATTCTGCTGCCACACCATCATATAGAGTAGTGAAAATTACATGCAATAATGTATATCAAGTGACCAGTATAAAATTTAAATCCAAAAAATAAAGGCTCTCCCAGCCTCCCTAGGCTCCCTCCCCATTTACCATCAATGCTTTTCCTTTAATAAATCTCTTGCATATAATTCACTTGACATCTGCTTCTTGAATGACCTGATTACCCAGGTGTATCAGCTCCAGCAGAGCGTCCATACTGTCAAAAATCACAGTGTTAGAACTGAGAAAGAGGTAAGAAATCCTCTACTCCAATCACTTTCTATTATAAGACCAGAAGGAAGGAAGCTTGCCCAAGGTCTATGATCAGTACGCAGCCTAGCTAGTGCAAAAACACCTGTAGCACCCTTAGGATTATTTTATGCTGCCTGTGGAATTCTGGGACAGGAGTAAGCTCTTTTCTGGCTACAGGGGTTCTAATGCATAATTTCTGGAAGTAAAAAAGAGGGTTCTAACAGTAACTATTCTCAAGGGAGTAGAGGAAAGGGGTCCTCTGATGACTACTTGGTGGTAAAAGCTCCTGTACAAGCTCCAGCAGGAACTGCAGAAGTAGTATCAGCCATGATGCTTATCTGTTCATAAGTGCGAGACTGCTTGTGCTATATCCTAAGTATAAGGGAAAATGTTTCCAGGGAAACATTCCTAAGGGAAATGTAAGGGAAAATGTATCCAGAGCTCCATCTAGGAATTCAGGCTTTTTGAAACACCCACTATTATTCATACTTCAGACGAGGGTCTTTCCCCATCCCCAAGAACATAGATTCTTTCTTATTTTACTTCTTCTAACAACACTTTTTCTCCAACTCCCTAGAAGTGGTGGTAAAAGAAGGGAAGTACACACCATGGCAATAGCATCAAACAACAGTTTTAAGGAGGTGATGCCTAAAACAAAACTAATTTGTGAGAAAAGGGTACCACCATTAAGTATGTGAATACTGAGCACTGTCTAACCATATATTCAACGTTCAAATTATATCTACAATAGTGCTATCACTAAGAAACTCACTATCCTTGCTGTAGTACACTCATTATTTTCACTCTAAATACTAGAGTCCTTTCCCCCAGTTGGCATGAGTCTGGCTACGGTGGAACTTCCCATGTAATCAGGAACTGACAACAGCATGCAGATCCATGACTGATGTATTCACACCGTGTTTGAATCTCAGTCTTTGCTTTGGTGGAGGGATTGGGGTTAGGATAATATCAATGTCTCATTTCCGCGCATGTGGTCCGCCACCATTAGCAGCTTTTTGCAGAAAAGTGAATACGTGAAAATCAATTTGAGCTTCTCTTTCAAATAGGCTGTTTTCATCTTTTCAAGCCGAGGCACTGCATTTTTTCTTTGATGAATGTTTTATAGGTCCTCTCTATTTTCTCTCCTGCATAGCAACACTTCTACTGGAAATGAATAAGATTTAGAATTCATGACTGGCTATGACATGTCCTGAAAACTAGTTTCACTACCTCAGATTATAAACTGTACATGTCTCATGTCCATGGAGCAAAAGCAAAGTGTCTTCATCACTTTTTAAAATTACTATGTAAGTAAATTACTCCTTTGACATACACCTTAAAATTACCTTTTTATCTGTTGGCAAAGATAAATGCCTTAATTTTTCCTTTGCCTTACAAAGATTTAACTCTACTTGATATACTCCCGTCTTTGAATTTTAAGATTCTACATTCCAACCAAGCATGCTCCAAAGTCAAGGGGTCTCACATATTCCTCCTCTCTCTTGAAATACTGTATATCAACTTTCATTTTTATGACTCTCTTTATCTATCCTCACATTCTTACCACGTCTCATAAATTCCTTATCCTTTTTTGCAAACATTTTCATAATTCCCTTATCTTGCCCCAAGAACAAGATTAAGAAGCTCTAAGAAGGCTAATGATGTAGTGTTCCTTCATACCCCCATTGTTTAAATATGTATTTGACATTTGTTTACATATTTAACACCGCCTAGGAGAAGAGCAAAGAATGAAGATAGAACTTTCCCGTAGTTTTGTTTTCATTCTGACTGATGAGTTAGAGGTAAGCTTGAGGTAAGCTTTTAACTTCTAGACATAGGGCCACTATCTGGACCTGAACTCAAATGAGTTGATGTTATTCCCAGTACATAGTCCAGAGAAGAAAAAAAACATACACACAGCGGTGTAATTGACTAATGCTTGTAATATGTCAAGTGTGTAATAACAGGACATTGTTTAAATTTGCCCAAGAGATTTTTGGTAGCTGATAACCCTCCTTTTCTATCTATCTATCTCAAAAAAGGACTCACTGCAATTAATGGAAATTACTTGAGAGGTTTTCAAGACATATAACTTATTATTGCAAAGGGAAATAAGTAAGGTAGATTGCTTACTTTTTCATTTTTATTACTTTCCTTTCTAGGATAGTAATGTGTTTTAAGATTTTTTTTTTCATTTATTTATTTTTGCTGCTGAGGGTCTTAAGACTTCTTTTGGCATCCTTTTTGATTATGGGGGTAGAAAAAAAGCTTTTTCAAAAAAATAAAAGGCCATTTATTTTTCCAATACAAATTTCATTATGGAGGTAATATTAATCATAGCAGAAGATACTAACCAAAAAACAGAACAAAGAGAAATTACAATATATTGTGTCCAGGTTAGATGATCTCTGAGAAAAGACAACTCAAAATCTCCCAACACTGTACAGTAAATTACTAAGGTAATAATGTTCTGTCATGTGAATACCCATTCCTATTATACTTCATATGATTTGTGAGTTGGTGGTGTATGAAGCTGGCATTGAAAGCAAGATCAGTGAGTAAGTTAGCTTAAACATGCTGAATTTACAGAATTTACACCACTTAGATACTAAAAATTGTCAGGCATTCTGTCTTACTAAATGTTACTGGGAAAAGAGGCAAGTTCTTCCTAGAACAGCAATTCTCAAGCTATGGTCTAGGAACAAGCACTTTTCTGAACATTTGGTTTGGTAGGATAGAATGAACATACTATAGAGGGAAATATCCCAAGAGGATATTGCAAGAACATTGATTTATTAGGTTATTTCTCTTTTTCAGTGAGTCTTCAGAGTAGGACATTTAGAGAACAACTGACCATGAAAATTGTATTCCAAGATCTTAGAAGGAGATCCCAAGAATCTGCCTTATGTTCCTTTCAATAATGCACCCCAAACCCACCATTCATTACCTACATATCATGCAGTCTATGAAAAAGAACAACTGTAGGATAAAGAAAAATGGAAAATGGTCAATGTGGTATACAATCTACATTTTTCAATTTGGTGTTTATTTATATGACCACACTTAGGACACCCTCACTATTTGTAGTTTTCTGAATCACCAAAAATGAATAAATAGAGAAGCAAAAAAGTTTACACAGGAGTATCTACAAAAGAGGCACTAAAGATTACTTCAAAATTTCAACAAAGGAAGCCATCATTAAATAATTTGTTTCCCATTCTCTATTCCTCTTTGAGCTCTATTTAGTGCAAGTTTTGCCTAGTCAGTAAACCTCTAGGCAATGTCATTAATCTAATATTCATATCGTTGGATACACTGTCTTAAGTCTTAGAACATATATACTCCTTTAAACATCCCACAACACAAGCAACATGACAAGTTAGGAGACGGCTACTCCTAGAAAGAGAAGCTCTAGCTAACCTTGCATTATTTTCTCACATAAGAAATATGAGTTCACAGAAGAAGCCTTGGAGTGGGTGGCCACACTGAGGCCAGCTGTGCCATCAACCAGTCTCCAGAAAAAAAGTGACCTGTTTTTAATCACTGCTTTCCAAAGAATAGTTCAATAATCACATGACTTCCTTGGTAAATCAAGAGAAGCTGAAATTCAGTCCAGGTTCAAGGTATCACATCCCTAGGGGAGCAACAGCAAAGAACAGGGAGCTCAACACTAGCTCCGTTACAGATTTGGGGATTGCATCAAATATACCCAGGATATTTTGACCACTGCTACTGCTTGACCCTGTGGATATGTTCTTTCAGGACTTGGCATCCACTGCCAACCCTCTTCCATCCCTTATCACAGGAGCTGCAAAGCTAAAAACTACACCTCCCCAAATACCAGTGAACTAGAATAGCCTATATGCAAACAGGATCTGCCGATGAGATGCATTCTTGAGAGATTCAGAAAGCAAAAAGAGAGATAGAGGCCATCTTCTCACTGTTTTGGTACTGGCAAGGAAAGTTGGTGGGTCACCCTTGCAGTAGCCAGATGCCTCATTATATTTCTAGTCACCAGTTTTGTGGGTGCAAAAGGAAGCTGTTGTAACATACTGGTGGTAGCAGCTTCCTGACCTCTGGATCTCATCTCTGGATCTCAGTTTCATGATATCTATAGTCCAGAGGTAGCCCCTCTGGCTTCCACTGCCCTAGCCACTCTAGCAGGTGTTAACCACCTAATTCTCTCTGTTCTCTTGATTTCTACTGAAAGTACCTCGAGTGGTTGCTATTTCCTGCACTGAACCCTGATTGACAGTTGCTTTCTCTAGCTCTACTTTTTTAGCAGGAGACACTACAAATCAGTGTTACTGCTCAACATTCAGGGAATTAATATCCTCAGTTAACTAACGCACACTCCCAAACTCTTTACCACCTTTGTCTTGCTTATGTTAAACATATCCACATTGATCTGAATTCATAAGTATTTCTTCATATTATTTAAGATCACATCATTAAACAGGAATGGAAGGAGAATGGCACTATAAATTTAAATACTTCCTCTCTACAAGAGAAGCTAGAATGAAGCAGAAATTTTAGTCTCTTATACAAAATCTTAGGGCAGGACTCTTATTGTCTCAACTTGGATTTGGCTTCTGGTCTGTGTCCCTGGACCAATATATTGCGGCTGGAAAGAAGTTCATATAGCAAAAAGAAACCAGCTCTATAGCAATGGATGAAGGGAATCAGTGGTGCCCTGAGAAGGTGAGATGGACAGATATTCCAAGAGTTTCACTATATCTGTACTCAAATCCTAGCTCTCCCAATTACCAGCTGTTGGCCTAGGGTTTGTTATCTAATATCACTAACATACAGTTCACTTTTCTATCAAAAGAAGATAATTTAAAAATTTACTTCTATCACAGGATTTTTGTGAGGATTACATTACATAATATAAGCAAAGCAATAAGAACAATATCAATATACCGTAAGTGCTCAATAAACCTTAGTTTTTTTGTTTTTATCAGTCATGATGCTTCAGTCAACTGGGAGCATTGACTACCAGTATGCTTGGCAAAAGAAACTAAAATTTACCCTTCACTGCATTTGCTTGAAGTCTAGACCCTGCACTTGGAAGCCAGCTAAGAAAACTGACCACACAAACTCATATCAGGTTATCAGCTCAAAAAGGACATCACTTTTCTAGCTGAACTTAAATGATACAAAGGTAAGATAAAAAAGAATCCATGACTATAGTCCTGTCCTCTAGGGGAGAGAACAATGCACATTTATTTCAAGATAGATGTTCAATTTAACTAAATTCGTGAAAGATCAGGTTTTCCTGGAACTTGTTGCTTGCACAACCAGCATGTGCAATCAGAAATGAGGTTTACTTAACTGATTTATCTGGAATTACCTAATAATTCCAGACCAAGGATCAGCAAACGTTTTCTGTAAAAGACATGAGACTAAATATGTTAGGCTTTGTGGGCCATACAGTCTCTCTTGTAAATAACTCAACTCTGCACTGAAATACAAAAACAGCCATAGATAATACATTAAAAAAAAAAGAGAGAGAGAGAGCACAGCAGTGTTCCAATAAAACTTTGCTTATAAAAACAGGCAACAGTCTAGATTTGGCCCACAGTTTGTATTGCCAATCTCTGGTCTATATATAAAAGTACATGTGGCTTGTGTGTGTGTGTGTGTGTGTGTGTGTGTGTGCGCGCCTATGAGTGAGTGGTCTATAATAGGGAGTAGTGGTTCACCTTTCAAGGGAGCCACATTTCTAGGAATTTGTTAATGTCATCTAAATATTTATATTTATTCTCATAAATCTGTTTATAATAACCTCTCAAATTTGAATGTCTTAAGGATCTGTAGCAGCATACCACTAATTGCTGATATTGTAATTTTTTTCTAATATAAGCATTTGAAGCAATGTTTCTCTCTAATAATGCTTTTAAAAAAGAAAAATAAATAAAATAACAGTACATGTGGCTTGTAAATCTTGAAAATGTCTCGAATTTTGTTAGTCATACTTTGACTCAGCCCAGGTGGGAAAACATCTCCAATATGAAACTTTCCTCAGTCCTGCCCTCACTTCCAACATCTTTCTGCCCCTTGCTCATGCTCCTCACTTATGTTTATAAGAGCCCATAGGTCTATCTCTGAAACAACCTTCCTCCAATCCCCTCTACTTCAGTTCATTTTACATATTGCCAACAGACGCGTCTTTCTAAAACACTGTACGTTTCGCACACACCACTTTCCCACACACCACTTTCCCACTCAAAATCCCTCAACTGCTTTCCGTTACCCACAACAAAAGGTTGAAACTCTACCCTGTCATTTAAAACAGTCTATATTCTGGCTCCAACTGATTTTCCCATTTTATATCTCTCTTGCCTGCCACAGAAATCATCCCATAAACTGATATACCCTCATTCTTGCACTTGGATATTTCTGTCTTTATTCTTTTCCTCATCTTTTCCCCACTACAGTAGCCTTTCCTTCCCCATCTTCTTCACCAATTTAAATTCTTCATATTGTTCTAGGTCCAGAGAACAGAAAAGTTAACTCCCAAATACAAAGGTCCTTGATCCCTCTGCCTGCAGCAATTATCTCTCCTGTGACTCTGAAAATAAAAGTTATTGTTTACACCACTCCTACAGCCCTTGTCACATACTATTTTCTCATGCAATTTGTGTTGTTGCTGCAGTTGCTGCTGCTGCTGTTGTTTTATTGGAGCAGCAGACAGACTGCATGTTTCTTGAAAGTAGAGCTGAATCTCAGACTTCTCTGAACTGCCCAGCAGACCTTTCAGGGTACTTTGTGCATACACTGACTATACAGCTCATTAAGGCTAAAGGACAAGAAGATATCTATGTAGCCCTCTTTGCAGTAAGTGCCTTTCAGCAATTTGTGGGCCTTTTAACAGAAAAGCGTTTGAAATGATCCTGTGAAGAAAAGGAAGGACACTTTGTCCCCAAGACAGAATGCCAGGGAATGATTATTCAGGATGTGCAAAACTCTGGACTTTTGTTTCCCTTTTACCTAAAGCCCTCTATGTAGACCATTTCCATCATCCCTATCAAAAGTGTAGGCAAGAAAATAAAAAGAAAAGACAAATCATTCAAGATTGTTCCTTCTTAGAAGCTTCAGGGGAAAAAAGTTTGATGAGGAAGAAACTATAATAAATGCCTAAAAGATTTTTAATGCTTTCCCAATGCAATTGTCTGTGTTTTTGCTGTCTCTCATAACCATAAGTGAGTAATTGAGAGCATTGCTTCTGTCAGGTGCCATGGAAGCATTTAGTTTCAAGAGAGAAAGATTCAGTGACATTTTGCATCATTTTAAATAATAATGCCTAATTTATGTGGTGTCATTATAAACAGTAACTTTCGATATTTTAAAAGGGTTGCATTCTATTTAGAAAAGAATTCTTTTTTTTACATAGAATTTTATTTTTAAAAAAGTGGCTATATTACTCTCATTCTCCAGACTAAAAACAACCACTTTTCAGCTTTAATTACCCAACATAAGAGTGCCAGCTATAATACTCTCATGCAATAGAATGATAGTTTCAAAGCCGTCCTCCTCAACTATTTCACAGTAAGAGAGTTTGTATTCTTGATTATAGGCGGGAAAAGAAAAGGAAAGGAGGGAGAAAGAATGAGACTACAATCAGTTTTCCTAGTAAAGTTTCTTTCCTAAAACATAACTATCTACAAGCCCAGGTTCTACTTAGCTTATATATCAATTTATGATGCCCGTTGTTAAAATGGAAAAATCCAAAACAAACAAACAAATAAATAAATAATAGAGGTTTTAAGTAAATATCACATTTCAGAAAGGCTGTAGTTTTCAGGGAAAGATTGACCATAAAACAATTATCCTTGATAACTATCACATGTCCCTGTTCCTAGCTTTGGTTATAACTCACATGGAGGTCAACTCAGCACCCTGGGGAGAGAACTACTGCCTATCAGGAAAATAAAACACATGGGAGACTGTGGAATGTTCTTTGTACTTGAAGAAGAAGAAAAACAGCCTCTCTACTGTACATATACAAAAATTAATAATAACCACATGAAAATCAAGCATTTAGTTATTTTTTCCCTAAGTCAAAAGACACCGCCATTTGTCCTGTCAACTGAGAACAATTTCTCTCCTCCCAAAGTCATATTTTTATTTCAGTTTGGATATTATTTTCACCTGTATAGTTTTATCTCTGTAGAATTTCTGCAAGTTTTTTGTCTACCTGTCAGGTTACTTTTCACATTATCATTTTAGTTTGCATCTAAATTTTTGTATATGCTTCCAAAGAAGAATCAAGCCTTATTTTGAAGTTAATTGCACCCAATTATCAAATGTTCCTTGGATCTAAAGACATACTAATATGCACCACAATTTGTTTCTGCCAAAACACATTTTCTCTTCTCATCTGTGCAATGCCGTTTTTTCTAATTATATGTGATACCTTATTAATGGTATCTCATAGGGGAAATATGTTCAGATTCTTTTTTAAAATGTAAGCAATCTAAATATGCTCAAAGTTGTACCACAGAATAACACAATAGAGTTAGAAAACAATACAACAAAAGTTTTCTGTGAGACTAACCCAGTAATACCTTTACATAGTCAGTCAACTAATCAAATATAATGGTGAAGTATAAACACTGTGGCATAACCAATTGTTTTTTCCTCTTACTACTTAATTATAATTGTTCCATTCTGGAAACGTTTTGGTGCTGCCATTGCTTTTAGGATAATCAGATATGCAGAGCCAAAAACTAGGATATATTTTTCTCACTAGGAGGAATTTCAAATTTGGCAGTATATTCATGTGTGAACAAATCCAAAGAAGATGGCAAGAGTAAAATGTGAGTTTGTCTATCTCCAAAGGGGCACAAAATTAGCCTAAGGGGAAATGAGGGTAGGAAATATCACAAAATTTGCGACGCAAAACAGTGTTTGAAAATCTAAATATTGTTCGTCAGTAGCCAACGCATGCACATAAAATTGTTTCTGAAGTTTGATAAATTGTTTCTTGTCTTCGTAGATTTCCATCACTTTGCTACTGGTTTCTTAGAATAATTGAAATATCTTATAATCTACCAGCACTTTAAATAATCATAGTCATACTATAGTGAAAATCCACAATAAAATCGAATAGTCACCGGGTGCTCCCTAAATTTCAATGTGGAACGATGAGGAAACAGATAGAAAAGCAAAAGACATACTGAACAAAAAGAAAAACGTTGAACTGGAGCCAAATCACACAACAAGATTTCACATCTAAAAATTTCAGAGGGAAAAGCTACCTTAATTGCTAAAAGTCTGCAGTCTGACCATGCCTAGTTAAGTTTTTGACTACACGTTACTATCTTGGTAAACCAAACATTGTCAGAATCTCCCATCTTTTTCCCACGCCCAACAACTGTAATATATATATTATGATATCAGTCCTGTTCAAGTTTGGATGATCTTATTCCTTCACAATTCTCCCTACCTTTAGATTTTTTCTCTATTAGACTTGTATACCACTCAAATGTTGCTTTTTAAAATTCCTTTTTTATATATTCTCCATGCATCATTTCAACCAGCCCCTACACCTAAAATAATCATCTTATTCCCATTCATTGAGCTTTCTAAGTTATTTTTTTATTTAACATTTTGCAGAACATGTGTTTAAAAACATGAGCTCTGTGGTTGACTTTCTGGATTGTACCATGCATGACCATGTGACAGTAAGTAAGCTTCTTAACCTTTCTGGGCCATGATTTTTTCTAAAATCGAGTAATATTTGTACCTACCTCATTAAAATATTTTGAGAATAAAATGAGTTAATACACTTGGAACTCACGTTAATATGCGTAAAAATACATGTAAATCTGACATGGATTATATATTCAATAAATGTTATAGCTATAAAATCCCAACTTTCTTAAGAGAGTAGGAAATACAATTTTAAAAATTAAAGAATTTTTAAAAATATATGTACCACCATCATAGATATGTGACCACATATATCGAGCCAAAGAGAGTTAGGATATAAGTCTAAAAGAAATTGAACAAATTTTATGTGCCATGCTCTGCCCCTCCATGGTGCAGCCTTGTGGCTTGAAGGCAGCTGCTCAGGTCTCCTTGTTTTCCCTTCTACTGGTTAGAAGCAGATAATGCAGAGGCCACAAGATGGAATAAGCTGAATTTATTCTTGGATCCCTGAATCACCAGGTAGAGGAAAGCTGCCCAGTAACCAGGAACATACACATTGGATTGTTAAATGAGCAAGGGAAAAAAATCTATTGTGAACTCCCCACTGAAATGAAAGTGTTTCTTTGTCACAATAGCAAATGATACCTTAACTAAAACAACCCAATTCTTCTCTATTCTTGCCACTGCTTTGATGAAAACTTGTGTTGGCATAATAAGGAAGCTTAAGCACACTGCTTTGAGGCAGATACTTGATCTTCTGTCTACTGGGGTAGCTGGGATATAAAGAAGGGTTGGAAGAGTGTACCTTGGGACCAATGCTAATTTCCTGACCATTTTATGAGCTGGGAACTCCTACTAAGACCCACAGAAAGAAATCTTTTCTGGTCACTTAAACCTTTCAAAAGCACTGCATAAAAAAAATGCATGAGAATAAAAGTTGCTAAAAGACATAGTGCTATTAATTATTTCCAAATTCATTCTGATTTCCTGATTTGACTACTTACTTTCAAGGTTCTTTCTACATCCTAACATTTCT